CTCCCCTCCAAAACCCTCAGTTTGTTTCTCAGAGTCTACAGTCTCTCATGGTTTTATTTATTTGACAAAGAGAGAGGACAAGGAGGCAGAGCGGAAGGCAGAGGGAGAGGGAGAAGCTGGTTTCACACTGAGCAGGGAGCCCGACATGGGGCTCGATCCCAGGACCCCGGGATCATGACCTGAGCAGACAGCAAATGTTTAACTGACGGGGCCACCCAGGCACCCTGGCCATTTTGTTTTTATGCTTTTTCAGTCAGTTTTCCATTTCCTTCCTATTTTCACATTCACAAGGATGCTCATGGTTTTCTTGTGTTGTTGTTTGAACTCCCTGACGTGCTCTCCACGTGGTTTCCCTCTGCGCCCATCTTCCTCCTGAGTGTCTGTGACAGAGGCTTGAGGTTTTGGTAGATTTTACAAAAGACTGGCTTTTGGTTTTGCTCCCCCTTTTGATATTTCCTCACCATTCCCATAATTTCTGATCTCTGTTTTTGTAAATACTTCCTCTACATTCCTTAGCACTCTTGATTTGTCATGCTCCTAATTTCCATTTTTCTGCCAAGATTAGAAATGGAGTTCCAAATACCTTAATACAATCTTCTACCTGCAGTGCACTCATATTTCACTCAATTCTAAATGACCAGTACTTTCATGGTGACTTCCTCTGTAATCTGCGAGTGGGGAAACGGTGTGTTTTTAAAGTTTCCACACACGTTTACATGTTTACCTTTTGAACTTTTTCTCTTGATTTCCCATTTAATCACACTGGGCCAAAGAACGTGGCCTGCATGAAATAGATCGCTTAACATTTAATGCAAAAAAATAAATTAAGATATAAAATAAAATTTAGTGCAGTTTCCCATATGTGGTCAACTTTTTAAAAAGCTACACAGATTTTAGAAAAGAATCAACAGTCTGTTGGGAGCACGGTTCTGTATATTTCTATGAATCTGGGACTGTTAATACTGTTACAGAAATGCTTAGAATTACTCCGACAATCATATTCTGAACTTTCTGCTTGACATCCTTTTTATTTTTCACATCTCGCTTTTCTTCCTTTTCTATTGGTGTTGGTTGCTTTTGTTAAATACAGATCCCCTCATATCTTTTCCTGCTAGATTAGAAACTATATACACATATTGTTTCAATAACTACAGCCCATACTTCAGTTGCAACTAAGATTTTAAAATACATAACTAAGGGGGCGCCTGGGTGGTCCCGATGGTTGAGAATATGACTCTTGGGTTCGGCTCAGGTCATGACCTCAGGGTCGGGAGCTCCGCACTTGAGATTCTCTCTCCCTCTGCTGCAAACCCCCCCAACTCTCTCTCTCAAATACATACAGTCTTTAAAATACATAAGTAAGTATACTTTTTCTAACACAATCTCAAATCGTTCTATGTTCTACTTCTCCCAACGGAGGTCTTATTATATAACTGCTCACGGAGCAAACCCTCAGATGATACCATGATATAACCACACAGAGAGCAAACCTCAAAAGACACACATGCACACTTGGGGCGTCTAATTACCGAAGTTCAGCTTAACCTTAGTTGAACAGTCCGTATGGAACTGACCCTGTGCCATGGCGTCCCTTTCTCTGCACATTGCTGTGTCCCACACTCTGCACCTTGCAAGGCGCTCACGATCTTCTTTCTAAAGGACAACGCTGAATGAATCAGAGACGATTGCCAGTCACAAATCTTCTCAGTCTTCACCTGAAAAAGCTTTCCTTTGCTTTTAGTACGTGTTGGTGTGAACTCCCAGATGGATGGTCCCTTTCACCTCACGGCTCTGAAATCACCCAGGCTCTCCTCTGGCACTTGTTGGTTCTGTGCGGGCTGCCAATCCGATGGCCGTCCAGGCGCTGGGAAGTCTGCATTCTCCCCGAAGACCTTTTCTTTGCCTTCTGCTTTCTGGAACCTTGCCAGATGCTTCCCAATGTGGATCAATCTTCCCTTTTCCTCTTGGTTCTTTGAGCCTGCTCTGGGGACTGCCTGTCCCATTCTGGCCAATTCCCACCAGCCTCTCTTCGGATCCCCGTCTCCCTCCCACCTGCACACTCCGGGACATGTAAGTGTGTGTGTCCAAGGGCCCACTCAGGTTTTCCCAGGTCCATCTGTTCTGGAGGGAGGTGAACCCTGAAATGAATTCTCCTTGGACTGAATCCAGCACTTTGAAAATGCCAGGAACTCTGCTGTTCACTTCTAACACATGGACTCTCCCCTCTAGCTGTTCCCGTCACCCCACTGTGCTTCGGTGTGTCCGTTATGACATGACACGTTCGATCGCCTCCCCGTGCAGCACACACACGCTCCCTTCAAAGCCATGGTCAGACCCACCTTCACTGCATCTGGAAAGTGGAGGTCTGCTGATTGTGGTGGTTGTACTTCTCAGTGTTTAAGGAATTCAGTTTGCAGACTCGTTGGGGGTGGCTTGTGCTCTGTTTTCCTCCCACCCCTCCCTGTGGGGGGACGGAGCAGGGCACTCGGCACCGCTGCTGTCTCTCGGAACGCTGCCCATGAACTGCCCTCCGCTGCTGGGGGCTTCTACAGCCCAGAGGAAATAAGCATGGGCACTGCTCATTCTCTAAAAATATCTGGCCTGTGGTCCAGCCTGAGTGAGTCCTTCTGATTTCCCTGTTTTACATGCAATGGGGACAGAGTTACTGAGGACTGGAGGGAAAGGCGTCCAAGGTCACGGGTGGAGGCACATTCGTTGGTTCCCTTTGGCCCTGCTTCAAGTGCTGGGATGTGTCCGACGCTCGGTTTCAGAGGCCAGGGTGTAACTCTGGAGCAAGGAAGGGAACCCGGTCTGCTCTGCATGAAGCCCACTCCATCTTCTGTGCTCAACCCTCACGGCCACTAACCAAGCAGCTGTGACAACCATGGGATGCTTAGTTTCAAACCTTAGAAAAGGTTTATGCTTTATTTTATTTTTCAAGATTTTATTTATTTACTTGACACACAAAGAGAGAGAGCATGAGCCGGGGGGAGCCGCAGAAGGAGAGAGAGAAGTTAACTCCCTGCTGAGCAAGGAGGCCGATGCGGGGCTCCATCCCAGGACCCTGAGACTATGACCCAGGCCGAAGGCAGATGCTTAACCCACTGAGCCACCCAGGCACCCTGAGCTCTAAACTTTAACAAACTCTTTCAGTATAATTTTTTCCTAACTTTTTGATTAAGGCATCAACATAGATTTTTATACGAATATTACTACCCGGATTTTGATTATTTCAGTCTAAACGAGACCACTAGTAAGCAGTGAAATGTCATCAATTAAAACGTCCCTAAGTATTGAAATCTGTATTAACGAATCGGTGTTCTTTCTTGTTGCCAAGTGTCCTCAAAGATGACTCAACACGGAAAATCCCGACTGCTTGACACGGCATCTCACACTTGAGAAAACAGCTCTTAGATGTCACGGGAAGCTCCCAGCTCTTATTTTTGCTAAATTTCAACCTCTTTCAGATTAAGCCATTTTAAGAATCTGATTATTCTAATGCCTCCCAGCTCTAAAGCCTACCCTGTATTGTACTTAACCTTTCCTGTAATCCACACCATGAGCTGTGTGCATTTTTCTGAAGCCTTCCCCCAGTCATACCGTTTCCTTTCCCGGGCTGCTCCTTCTCCCCCGTATCAAAGCGTGCACCTTTAGACTTCATTTGCTTTTGTTTTTTGTTTTGTTTTTTTAAGATTTTATTTATTCAAGAGAGAGTGCACACAGAGGGAGAAGCAGGTTCCCCCATGAGCAGGGAGCCCCAAACGGGGCTTGACCCCAGGATGCTGGGATCATGACCTGAGCCGAAGGCAGATTCTTAAACGACTGAGTCCCCCAGACACCCCAGACCTAATTTGCTTTTAACCCCCATCCTTGCTTTCCTGTGCTGCTCCCATCAGAAGTGAACAGAATGGGAGTAAAAGTCATCACAGCAAGCCAGAGGATCACTAAGTGTGCAGACATACAACACCAGCCGGAGGGCAACACCCAGAAGCCAAATGGAAGGGCTGCACCATGCAGGGGCCCTGAGAGGTGATGTTGGGTTCCCTCTGTGCTGCGCCCTGAGACAACTCGTGTGGAACCGGCCTCAGGGTTCTGCTTACTGCAGTTGGCTCCTCATCACTATTCAGAATTCAGTGTTCCTATGAAACTTTTCCTAAGCCAAAATAAAGGAAGACAAAGAAGCGATTACCCTTCATGCATAGGACAAATTGGGTGAGCATTCCAAGAGCCGAAACCACCTGTCTCCACTTCCTCTGATACCGATAAAGACAGATCTTGCTCAAGGATGAACAAAATACATGGAGATAAAGGGCAGATGCTCCCAGCTCAAAGCCATGACAGCTGGATGCTGAGTGTGGCTGCGAGGAAGGCGCTTGGCAGGGCCGCTGTCCTGCTCAGTGCCCGCTGCCTTTAGAATGGCCCCCTGTGAGAGCAATGCCGGGTCTTCCTGTCTTTCTTGTTTTTAATATTTTATTTATTTATTTGTCAGAGAGAGAGAGAGAGAGAGCACAAGGAGGAGGGACAACAGACATAGGGAGAAGCAGACTCCCTGCCCAGCAGGGAGCCTGATGCAGGCCTCGATCCCGGGACCCTGGGATCATGACCTGAGCCAAAGGCAGACGCATAACTGACTGAGCCACCCTGGTGTCCCGAAAACAGTGCCGCATCTTTGTTTCTAAAAGCAGAAATCCTCTTTGTATTTCTCTAAGTGAGCAAACACAGGTACTGAGGTAGGTCTTTCGTGAAAGTCAAGGAGCGTGAAACAAACTTTCGAAAAGCCGGGGATACCTGTATATCAGGATATCGCAGCCAAGTTGTTTTTTTTTTTTTTTTTTTCTGTTCTAGAATTTGTTTTCTTTAAAGCAGAAAAGAGCCAAGGTCAGAATTTTTCTCGTGTGAGGGCCCAGAACAATTTCGCAGAATACGGAGTCCTAGCACAGGGGCAAAGCTGCCGCTGGGGCTGATGGCATCCATGGCATCCTGTTTTTGTCATTCCTTACCCTGGTGATTCGTGAGCCGGTCTGACGGTGCTGGGAAGCCCGGTCCCGCCAGATCTCGTGGACTGAGAGGGGGCGTCTGCTCCACCTGGTCCTGGGGAAGAGGGGAACACAAAGGCTTTGGTCAAAAGGAGCATTTCACACTTGTCCACACCCGCCCTCCCCTGCAGTCCTTCTTCCTCAGTTTCTTATTTTGACTCATTCAATTTCTTGGTTTTTAAAGGTTGGTTGTTTAAAATACACCGTAAAAGGGAAGCTAATGGTGGAAAGGTGCCACCATTTAGCAAAGAAAGGCGTCAGAAGACAAGTTACCCTAGGTCTCAGGCTTAAATTGCTTTGCCTGAATAGCAATTCAAAAAGAATTATTGTCAGCTGCTGGATTCGAGCACCGAATATAAATTATTAGCATTCAACGGAGCACATGCATTTTCTGCAACAATTACTGGTAATCAAGCCCTAGGCGGTCTGTTATCTGGAACGGAAACATCCAGGGACTGCTTATAATTGGCCGGCTCTACAGAGAAGAAGGGCTCCGTGGGGATTTTTTTTTTCCCCAGACGTCAGGATGAGGACAAAAATTTTAGGCAAAAGTTAAAACAGCAATGTTACAATTAACCGCACAACTCTAGGAAAAAGCGTCTTCGTGAGATTATAATCAACCCAATGAAAGACAGGTTAAACGTGGGAAAAGAAAATGGGCCTTTTCATAGGGACACACCGAACACTAGCAGGGATTAATGTGGGGCGGAAAGAGGTTAAACTCCTCTTTCAGATTTAAGAAATTCTGAAATTTTTACACTGCACCTGAATTACCTCCATAATTAGGTCTTACAACTGCATCTGCAGGGGAAGATCTACCATCGGCACAAAGAGCAGCCAACTCGGCAACTTCACCCCTACCTATGCCAACAGCAGCAAACGTGTGTGCAGAGTTTACTGGGCAGAGCAGGACTCCCACTTCACAGCTGGGGACACTCCGGGACAGGAAGGTTATGTCCACCTGACCGCCCCCCGCCGGCATTAGAACCCAGGTGGTGGGGTTCAGAGCCCACGTGCCTTCCCACTCATGCTGCCCATGAAACTCAAAAAAAGCTCATTCGTTTTGACAAGTCACTTTATCACCCGAATGCTCCCCAGTGAACGGTTCTCTGTCCAGAGCCTTAGCCTGGGGGTACAGAAACAGGGGGATGATACTCTATCCCTCCGCTGTGTGAAAGCCAACCCATGTGCACACACACGTGGTCTGGTCCACACTGCACGGGGTCCGCTCGCTAGAGCTGGGGAGGCAGAGTGGGGAGCACTGGGGAGAGAGACCAGAAGGGTCAGCTCACCAGTGTCTACCACTCAGAAGTAGGGAGCTCAGTGCCTGGGAAGGCCCAGCCATAGCCATACCTTCCCCCAGAAAATCTGGGGAAAATGATCCAAGCCTGAGAGCATGTCTTCACTGCTGGTCTCTCTCAAAAAAAAAAAATAGCTTTCTTTTTGTTTTTTAATCATAAATGTGATACTTGCTAACTAAGAGAATCTGGATACTAAAGAAAAGCTTAAAGAAAAAAATTCAAGTGAACCCCTCTACTTTCACCCACAGATGATACCCTGTCGGTTTTTGGTCTGTTTTTCCAGAGACAAGAAAAAAGCACAAACGTGGTTCGTCTACGTGCACTATTTGAATTACTTATGGAAAATGTATATGTTACATTTGGATCACACGGGCGTTACAAGCGATTCTGATTAAAAAAAAAAAAAGGATTCATAATCAAATGGCACATATTACGGAATTTTAGCCTATCTTTCTGAAATTTCCCATGGCAACGAAGCACCTCCATCCGTGCTTCCAAGCCCTGGACCACTCCACTGGGTGGCCAGGCAGCACAACTTCCTGAGCCCATGCCCTCCCGGGGAGCAGGTGGTTGGTGAAGAAAGGAAGGTTCTGGTTGGGAAAGAGGAGAGGAGCTGGTTTGCAAGACAGAGTCCGGAGGCAAGAGCAAACCCAGCAGGAGCCCTGCCGCGGTGCAGAGGACAGAGCTGGGCAGTCAGGGTCAGAGCACGATGGGGTACCTCCCAGACCCCCAAATGCAGCCCAGCCCCCCTACTGAGGTCATCCCACCTGGTTTCTGCAATTCCACAGCCCACATTCCTCCACCATACTGGCTCTTTACCGTCTGGGATAAATATTTTTCTTATTTCTTTTCTAAATTTTCAAACAAGCAGGTCAATTTTTGGAACAGAGCAGAAGTATAATAAAAATGCGCCTGAATCCCGACACCAGGCAGGGTAACTGACAGCACCCCCGGGGGCTCAGCACCTCTAGACCCCGTGGAAATCACACTGTGTGAAGGATCCTGTGTCCTGCCTCTCTCCCTCCCCCACAAACATGACAAGATACTATGTTAAAACCTCAGTAAATATTTTCTTCAGATTCTAAACTACTCTGGTACACACTTGTAGCCACTTGCAAGTTTCCCATCAACACCTCTGTGCACAAAATCCTGCCCTCCTTTCCGCTTATTTCCACTGGATCCCTGGAAGTTAAGCCACTAGTCCAAAGGTTTCACCCGTATTTTGGGTTTTTTTTTGAGCAGAGATACATACTGTCAAAATCTTCTTCATGCAGTTTACCCTTCCACCCAAAACAGAGGAGAACCGCCTGTTTCATAATCTCTGCAAAAGACCGAGACTGGTGATCTTTCTGGAATTTCTTCTTGCCAATCCCAGAGGTAAACCGTGGCCTTGGCCTGTGGTTTTCAGCGCAGGTCTTAAATACCGAAGTTGACCATTTTCCAGAGCTTCTCAGCCCTTTGTCCTTCTCCTTTGGGACTCCCTCTCTGATGAGTCCGCTGCACTAGCGCCTGAGGGCAGCCGGCCTTTCCAATCAGCCAAGCCCACCCACTCTTCAGGAGATGAGCCCCTGGGGGCCAATTCTCTGGAGTCTGACTCAACCAGCTCATCTGTAAAATGGGTTCAGTGACATCCCCCGCCCCGCCCCTGCCACCCAGAACTGCTGGAGGCTTTATTTACAGCACCAAGTACAAACCCAGGGCCGGGGGCTGGGCAAGGATCCAGCCTAGGGACGTGTGCATCCCCTGCCCACTGGCAACCCTGGTTTATGCTTCATTATTCCTCCAAGATGAGCCCCTCACATGTAAGAAACAGCTGCTCTTGTCTGTTGCAAATGCTTTCCCAGCCTGTCTGCAGACTTAACTGAATTTTTTATTCTCCGAAGTATAATTCAATGTAGGCAAGTCCACGGAACTCTCCTTCTCGGTTCGTCGAGGCAAGCTGGTGACTGCCTCTGTCTCCTCTCAAGGGAATCAGAGTCCCTAGCCTCCCCACCCTGAACACACCCAACCTCGTCAAGGACACTGGAGAGAGTCCGTGTAAATTTCACTCTGGTCTCTCTTCCGACGTGACATATTCCTCGCTCATCTCACTGACATTTTTACCGGTGGACGGGAGAAGCTGACACCATAAACCGGCCCCCGGTTCACTCTGCCCTTTCTCCCTAAGCTGGAAAGTCACCTCCATCCCACCTCATAATCTCCATACACACGCGTGTCTGAGTCGTGGCCACACTTGTGCATGGGTCCCATGGACCTGCCCATCCCAGAGTCATGGCCACGCTCTCCATCCTCACGGCCTCGGACACGTTTTCGTTGGTGCCCACTTCCCCTCTCGCTTCTTTTGCTTGGATCTTCTTCTCGAATTGTTTCAAGGTTTGCTTAAATTATTAAAGCTTCTCTTCTGGTGTATTTGCTTACATATAAATGAGCAATTACTACCCATTACAAATCTGGATGTTGGTTGTGGACCATCTGACTGAAATCAGATGGCACGGAGCTCAGGAGAATATAAACCAAAGGTCCAACCTCCCTGTGACCCAGGCCTCACCCCCAGCCTGTCCCTCTGGGGACAAACAAGACCCCGGGTGTCTCCTGCTCAGACTCAAGTCCAGGTCGGAGTCCCCGTCTTCTCCTCCACACGCCACTGTCCCTAAGCACTCCTCTCGTCAGTGGCAAGCAGACCTGACCCCACGGAGACATCGATTTAGAAGAAAAGACCTTCCAAACCTGACTTGGGCAACCCTGTTGCCAGATTTAGCAAATGCAAATGCAGGCTGTCCCGCGAAACTGGAGTTTCAGATACACGGGAGGTCAGTGGGTCTGGGGCACTTATGGGGCTTGCCCTAACAAACATTCCTGTGAGTTCTCTGAATTTAACTGGGGACCCTATACTTTATCTGGCAGCTCTGTACCGAAAAGACCATTCAAATCGGACAGGTTTGCAGGACAAAGAGCAGCGGCAAGAACAAAATCCCGACGCGGGGCTCGTGTGTTTGTACATAAGACTCCCAAGTCAAAGAGAAAAAAAGAAAAAAAAAACATATATATATATAAAATTCAACATGCAGATGCTTCAGACAAGAATCCTATTATCCTGGTAAGCGAGAAAAGACGCAACAGTAGGAAACTGCTAGTCTGTAACATAAAGCCAGCCCGGGAGAAGCGAACCATGGCTGCAGGGGAAGGTCAGACACAAACTCTTCAAAGGCAAACACTGGCACCTGGCCAGGCTCAGGGTCACGTAAACTGGGACAGGAGCAACATGCCCGTCCCTGTGCTGGCCTGGTCTCCCGGGGCTCATTTTTGCTTGTCGTGGTGGGTTTCCTGTTCCAGGTTAGTGAGCCTCCCCTTAGGGCCAGGAACCAGCACTTCGAGCGTCCATCTGCAGGAGGCCCGGGGCCCCATGCAGGGCCTGGGGGGAAAGACCCTGCAGGGGCAGCCTGGGTCAGCGGGCTGGTCCTAGAGGTCCCGCAGGACTGGGCGTTGGGGCACAGGGAGGGGACCGGGATGGAGCCTCCAGCTGGGCAGTGCTGTCCTCTAGAAACTTCCTTCTTGAGTCACACTTCTGGGGCTGACCTGAGTGCCCCCTCCCACCTCGCTCCCTCTGGCCTCTTGCTGGCCCCAGGCTGGGGTACCAACCCAAGGCTTCTCCGCACCCCTCCAGACCCCTCCCTGAAGCACTCTTCCTCCCCTGTCAGAAGCGCTCCCACTGGGCGTGCTGAGTGAGATCCCTGCCCACCCACGGAGGCAGGTG